CGGCTAGGTACTGGACGTATTTCGAAGTCTTTTAAAGTCTATCCACTGATGAGTTATACCAGGGTGATAATATACACGCACTCTTTGGAGGCACCCCCCCCCCCCCCCCGCCGTTGCTGGCGGCGGCAGCGGCTGTGTCTCGACGGCACCGCTCCCTGCAGCACCCACGCCCTCCCACCCTGACGCGACCTCCTCAACGGCGGCGGCGGCGGCGGGCGACGCCAGCTGTGGCGACCAAGGCCAAGGCCGCTCAGACGGCTGCTGCTGCTGCTGCTGCTGCTCTCGCTGCCGCCTCTCTCTGCTAGCTTCGTAGGAGGCCACCAGCGCGCCGAAGGTCACCTGGAAGAGGGCCAGCGGCGCCGGCGCAGCCGTCGCGGCGGCGCCCGCGGCGGCGCCCGCGGCTCCTCCTTCTCCCGAAGATACTGGCGACGGAGTCGCCGCACTGGCAACGGTCGCAGCAGCGCCGGTGGTGGTGGCGGGTGTCGTCGTCGCCGCCGTCGTTGTCTTGGAGGAAAAGAAGCCCGCCGGGATGGAGGTGTGTCCAAAGGGTTCTCGGAGCCAGCCCAGCATACACCTGGCGGGAATCAGCGACACCGCGGACAGCGCGTGCCGGGTCGCCCGCACAAATCATTGGAACAAGAGCAGAGAGGAGAGAACTACGGCAAGGGCGGCCGCATCGAGAGACACGGGAGTGGTGCTTGCAGTTTTCGAAGTTTACGGGTGGTGGGAAAATTCCCGGTTGACTGAGGCGAGAACGTTGAAGGGATTCGGCTACAAGGCAAGCTCGGCAATGAAGCAAAGGTGGTACTGTTCATCCTTCGTGTGTGCCACGATGTTCACGGACACAGTGAGGGGAAAGGCGGAAGCATACTGCAGCAGCGGCGATACGCAAAACGCAGGTCATTACCATCCAAAACACGAGCTAGACGAGTGCACTTTCTGCGCTATGCATGCGTGAGCGCGCACCTCCGCCCATTCAACAACACGCTTTCATTTCACTCGACGAGTGTGCTCCAAACGTGAGGGAGTGAGAGTTTGCATGCGGACGATATATCCAAGAAAAGCTGTCTATTGTAGAAGTGATGTAACAACCAACGGCAGAGAAGAAGAAAAAACTTTTAGATACAATCGCAACATCATCAACATCATCAGCAACAACAAGCACAGCAGCAGCAGCAGCAGCAGCAGCAGCAGCAGCAGCAGCAGCAGCAGCAATAAGAACAACAACTCTGAACTCACTCGAAAAGCGAGGTGAGGCTGATGTTGATGTTGAAGGCGAACATCCACTCCCGCTGCTCGCGCTCGACGTGCAGCCGCTGCTGTCTCACTTGAGGGGCCATTTTCTGCAACGTCATGGGCGTGTGTGCCATCACGGCGCGTCGTGTCAAAAAAAAAAAAGCAATGCATGCAAGACCACACTACTACTCACGACCGTATCACGGCCCCAGGTCACGAGGTTTCCTGCAATTTTTTCGCCGCACAGACTGCCTGTGGGATCTTGTCGTTAGCCAACCAGCTAAACAGCGCGTTAGACGATTTCTCCGCGGAACATACACGACAAGTTCAACTTCATCGTGCAGGGCCCACTTTTTCGTTTCTTTTCCCCCCCCGGAGGGAGGATACGCCCGTCATCGGCCCTTCCACTATTCACAACCAAAAGTTTCAAACTTTGGAGAGCCAAAAAGCGCCAGGTATGTTATACAGCCATCGTTCTAACAAACAAACAAAAAAAACAATGAAAAAAGAAGCAAAGGGGAAAACAAGGGGAAGCGATGTCCGCGATGTCAACTCAAGTACTGAACACGTAAGTTGCACCCTTTGCTGGAAATCCTCGGCATCGGTCTGAGGTAAGGAGCGTTGGCAGTCATTGGTCTGGACGTCTAGACAAGACCCCGCCCCCCCCCCCCAAAAAAAAAAAAAACATCGCACCTGCACCATGAGTAGAACCTTGATCCACTCCGTGAAGCACGCCCTCAGGAAACGCTGCGGAACTCCCTCGATGTTCAAGACGCACTTGAGGTCGGCCGCGATCGGGTTGTACCGGCGGTGCTCCAACACGCTGTGGGAGGCGCTCAGCACCATCTTGCCATCTGCGCGACGGTGATGGAGGTTGAGAGGGCAAGATGGGGGTGAGTGGGTGGGAGGGCATGGACATCATCGGTAGTTGGCGGCCTTCAAAGAGAGAGCGGGAGGGTCCACAACGAGTTTAGAACCCATTGGTTCGGGTTTCAAAGAGGATAGGGGGACATGGAGCCGGGGGGGGGGGGGGGCTTGCAACGATCGCGCCCCCGGGGGAGACATACAAAAGAGAGCAACGCGGGGAAACAAAGAAATGGAGGCTGCATCAAAGGGCAGGGTTCCACCACATTGAACCCTTATCGCACCAGTGCATTCTTGGGTGTGTGCAGAGTGCAAGGTCCTTGGGTGAGTGGGTCCGTGTAGTGAAATAATTCTCTTGGGGTGAGCCTCCACTGCTAGTAGACAAGAGGCATCCATCGCACCATCCCACCCCTCGCTCAAGAAAAACACAAGACAAAAGCACCAACAAAGTGAAAAGCGATGCTGCCAAATGAAGATTTCGGCACCACCGTCGCCGCCGCCGCCGCCCACGTCAAACAACAACGACGGCCACTATCCCACGACAATGGCAAAACACCGAGAACATCAACAGAATCAACAACGGCGAAAACAACATCATCACATAAATTATCATCATCAACAACAACAGCAGCAGCAGCAGCAGCAGAAACAACAGCAAAAACAACAACAACGACGACGACGACAACGACAACAGCAACAACAGCGAAACAACAAGTCTGACCTCGATTCCCGGGGGCGCCGCCCCTGGCAGGCTGCCTCTGACAGGCGCGCGAGAGGGTCGACAGGAGACAGCCGGCGAGAATCTGCAGGAGGTGGTGCTTCTCGACGAGCTTCTTGACGAAGGCCGACCGGTTCAAGAACTGTACGCTCAGCGTGTAGAGCCTGTTGACCACCAGCCCCACCGTTCGGCCGGAAAAGCCCGCCCCCCCCCGCCGATCCGTCCGAGGATAGCAAGACACGGGAGGGAGCAAGGGGTATTCGCCGTAGGATTCGATGCACGACACACGGGCAGATCCGGTCGCAACATAACGGAGCGCGGGCGGGGAGGAGAGCAGGAGAGAGTCGGCGAAAGAGAGAGAGGGAGAGAGGAAACGACACAGACAGACAAGACAGAAAGGCCCAGAAAGCAACGCCCGCGGGCGGTTACGATACAATCTGACACGTGTGAGGATTGTCGCATATAGATGCATGGAGACGATAGCCCATCACGTCGCCCCCCTCGGTTCCGGATGGCAAGCCGAGGCAATCGAGAAAAACAGATAATCGAGGAGTAAAAAAAAGTGGCACGATACCTGATGTTGGTGGCGTGAACGAGGTCATTTATCCTTTGGGGGCCCAAAACACCATCGTGGGCGCTGCCGCCATACCCATGCATACGCTCCAACACAAAAAACAAGCACGAAGAAAAGAGCCCACCAGGCGGTGTACAAGACGGCTGGAATAAAAGCGAACGGTTAAACCAACAAAGAGGAACAGCAACAGCAGCAGCAGCAGTGTTTGACCCTCTTACAGTACGAAGAGCGAACGAACTGCACGGGAGACGTTCGGGACTCCGCTGCGAAACTAACAGTGTCTTGCCCCGCACAACAACGTACACAGGACGACGACCTCGGCACAAAAAAAAAAAAAAACTTACGCGTGTTCCGCGGTGCCGACACCTCGAGCGTAGTTGGCCGTGACGGCGGGGAGGGCGCGGACGTAGGCCGCCGCGATCCTGGTCTTGAAAGGCTGGTCCGCCATCAGCGCCAGGTATAGGTCGTGCAGCGCACAGGCCAGCGGCTTCGGCAGGTGGGTGTCCGCCTGCCGTAGTAGAAGTACGCGCACGCGGCCATCGACGTGCCGATGGTTGTGATTCAGGTTGGGGTGCAAGTACGTACTTTTCCGAGCACATGGCGCGTGCGGTTCTGCAGCTGACGCCAAGGGAAAGCCGTGCGCGAGGTACTTTTCGAAGAGAACGGCCCGTTGCTTGTCCAACGTTTCTTGTCGGCAAACGCCGGGGCCGGGGACACTTGCATTTGCAACGATGACAGTTGCAGTGCAGGCCAAACGGCAAGCACGCGGTATTGTGCAACTCAGCGCGGCAGGCGCGGCAAAGTGAGAATCGGCTACACGGTGACCACGCCCACACGGTGACCAAGCTCACACCGAGTACGCGCAAGACCCATGATTCGCGAATGCTTCAAGGCGATGAGAAACAAAACAGACTCAGCCAAATCAGCACTGCTGGAGAGGGAACACCCAGTATAGTGGCGCTGAGCCGCAGTTAAAAGTACGGGAAAAATGGTGTTCGAGGAAGCTAGGAACGGACATCTTCCTCTTCGAGCGAGTGATGCACCGCAACTTGAGCTCTAGTCAACACCCAACTCAACTGCGTGAGCGTCACGCGTCAAGGCGCGAAGTTTTGGTCAAGACTCACCACCACGAGCCTCATGCGAATACCCCTCAAATAAGGTCAAACCAAGGCTCATCGGTATGCATGGCGTGAGAGCACCAAGTCGAAGGCTCAACCCCGATGAGCGTGGTGGTATCATGTCAGGCGTCCGAGCTTATGGTCATGACTCATGCCATGGCCACATAGGGAGAATAACCTCTGAAGCACGCGCGTTTCTCTTCGACAGAGAAGCCCCGGGCAAAAAAGTCATCCCATCGGTCGTCTCGCACTACTCTACACACCCTCAGCATACCCTGAGCTTGAGTGGGGCCTCCCCCTCAACTCGACACAAACATTAAACTCCTCTTCGGCTCTCAAGAGGCAAAGAACAGCCGAGAGCGGCCACGCGAAACGGCCAGACCAAACGCCGGGGGTCTCTCTCACCTCCATGAGGGCGACCAGCGTGGGCACGTCGAGCATCTCGCAGACCAGGCGGCAGCAGCCGTCCGACAGGGTGGACACCGCGTGCAGCCACCTCACCACGTCCTGGGAGCGCTTCAGCCGCTCCTGGAGTTCGTGGGTGCGAACCTGGTCGGTGTCCACACGTTTCATCACCATGTTTCTGTCATTTTCTTGGTTTGTTGTCAGTACTGCTGGTGCTGGTGCTGGTGCTGGTGCTGCCGCTGTCTCTGTCTCTGCTGCTGACACTGAAATCCGCTGCAATGTAGTGTCAGCTCAATGTTCCTTGCTGGATACCACAAAGCTTGACACACAGCACCATATGCCACACGTTCAAGCACGCGGGGGGGGGGGGGAGAGGAGGGGGTCCCTCCCAAGCAGGGTCCCGGAAAGTGCGGGGCCTCATCCCGCTGTAGTACTGCTGACGACACAGCTCTGGCGTTGTGCATAATCACCTTGGCGGGGACCTCAGGGGCGCTGAGGGATCTCCCCGCTACCACTGCTGTTGCTTAGGCCGGGCTACCCCGCACAGACTACAACGCGTTCGAAGGACTCCGAAGTAGGACGGTCCGCACGAAACGCAACGCAACGCAACGCAACGCAACGCAACGCAACGCAACTCACCGAGATCAGCAGCCCCCGCTTCGCCAGCGCCCGCGCAACGTCCAGCAAGCGCTCCAATTCCCTCGCCTCCCGCTCCCTCTCAGGGTCCGCGGCTCCGTCGCCCTCACCGCCGCTGACAACAGCAGTATCACCAGCTACAGCAGCAGCAGCAGCACCATCATCACCAGTGGAAGCAGCAGCAGCACCATTATCACCAGTGGAAGCAGCAGCAGCAGCAGCAGCAGCAGCAGCAGCAGCGGGAGCACCGGCTGCAGCACCCGGTCCAGCGGCAGCGGCGCCGAACGGAAAAGAAGGGAAGGACAAAATCTCCGCTTCCTCCGCGCTGCCCGTCGCCAATATGTAGCGGATCTATGGGTGGTGTTTGTTGCAGCAAGAATCAGCCATAAACATCAACAGACAGTGGTTTGTCTTAGGGCAACGAAGGGTTCATTTTTTCGTCCATCACAGTAAATCTCCACCGGGAAAAAAAGCGTCCGGACGGCAGTCCTCCCTGCCTGCGGGTAAGCGAAGGAGAGATACATATATCAAGGCCTTCCGAAAGCGTTTGCGCTAGGAAAACCGGAAAACATGCACATGAAGTAGCTTCCCAAATACACCCGATGTACATACACGCCAGAAAAACCCCACACGATGAACGGCAGATCGTTGCGACTACAGACGGCTCAGTTCACGAGAGGCTAGAGCAAGTAGGCCTCCAGTTGATGTTTCGTTCTGCGAAACGCTCCATACGGGCAAGGGTTTTTAGTCTTACTTGGTGCACGTTCGCCATGCCGAGGTTTGCCACCGACCCCAGGGCCTCGTACACTTGGTTTTCCTCGTAGAGGCTCTGGTGGACTATCATCGACACGCTCTGAGAGAACAAGAGCAGCAGCAGCAGCAGCAGCAGCAGCAGCAGACGGAAGGAACGACAGCGGTGGTGGCAGTATCAGCAGAAAGAACGACAGCATCAGCATCAGCATCGGTAGCGCGATGGAAAAGGACCCAGCGGGGACAACGCCAGAAAACCCCAAAATAAACCAACGGCATACCAGCAACCTCGCCGCCAAATCGGCGTGGTTCTAAAGCAGTATCGGCAGCAGAACGAATGGCATGGAGGAATGTACCTCCCCCTAACACCAAGCAATATAGTAATACAGAGAGTTAGCTCTTGCCTTCTCAATATCCTTCCTGCCTCTTGGGGATCTACAAAAAAAAACGCACATCTTGGCAGGCCAGTGACCACTTTGTCTCCCCTCTCCAACCGCTCTATCTTCCTACTCTACGGATACGCACTTCAAACAACAATGCACGAGTTTGAAGCACGAGCGGCGCAATAACTGTCCCGAGAACCGTTGTTCGGACCGCGGACGGAACTGGATCCCCTTTCCCCCAAAACACCACGCCCACGAAAACATTGATCCGCGGGCGCCTGATCTGTCGGAGGCTTCCGAATTTCCACAGGAGGGGTAGTGACACACGGCGACGATCAACATACCCACATAGGTCACGTACACCGCAACACCCGGGACCCCTTTCTCCTGTCGCGTGAAGCTCGCAAGAACATAAGCACGCTAAGAAACAGCAAAAGCTTCGCAACGCGTGCTGAATCGTTGCCTTGTCAACGCTCCTTCCTTCCGCCTTTCTGTACAACAGTTGGGCAACATCCCAACGCAAATTCTCCGCCACACAGCGCTTCCCGAGAATCGTCCGGCCCGACGATACATATACTCCCACAGGACATTCGGTCTACACATGGAGAAGGGGAAGTTTCGAAGGGTAATAATGTAGCTGCCACGCACCTTGGGCGGGCGTCCTCCGCTGGTGTTCCACGGCTTGGCGAGGTCGAAAGATTGCACCACGGCCTTGGATGTCTCGAGCAAGAACGTCTGCACAGCCGCCATCACGGTCGACCCCGCCGTTATCAGTCCTGGAACGCCCGTTGTTGTCCATGGTTAGGGAGAAAGGGAGCATGCCAGAGAGAGAGAGAGAGAGAGAGAGAGAGAGAGAGAGAGAGAGAGAGAGAGAGAGAGAGATACATGAGAAAACCATGAAGGGAAAGATGTACTGCGAGACGAGGGACACCATCTGTCGGTAGACGAGCGACATTGGTCAACCAAGAGAAAGACCTCATGCGATACGCCTCTTGACATGGCGCTTTTTGAAACGAACGCAGCTGCCGTTGCTAAATAAAGAACGCTGCTACTTGTTACCGTTTCTTCCTCCTCGGCTCCTGTTTTGCCGCTGCCAAGGCTGCCACTGCTACTGCGACGACTGCTGGTGCTACTGCTACTGAATTGCCGCGACTTGCTGGTGCTACAGCTACTACACTGTCGTTGCTTCTCCTGCTGCTGCTGCTGTTGTCGCGGCTACTGCCAAGACTGCGGTTGGGTCCGACCTTGGGGGAGTTCCAGCAGGGGGTCGCGGTTGTCCAGCCCGTGGTGACGGCAGAACCCCCGGTAATCCCAAGCGTCAGGATCGCCGCAGTCGCAGCACCCACCCGCCTGGTGCGTTCGTGTGCGTGTTTGTGTGGATGAGAGAGAGGGACATTGCTTGTGCAATGCGGGACCAACACTAGAAGACAATACTCTGTTCAGGACTTCGCGCCACATCCTAAAGGAGCATGCACCCATCGGTGATATTCGTGGAGAGCGCCGAAGGTGAACCACCGCAAGGTGAGGTTTGATCGTACACAGCACTGCGAGCAATCCTTGCTCTCGCCGTGCGTACTCGACAAACCGAAAACCACAAAGATGGAGCGCCAGCATCAGCGAACGAGGCAGGCAAAAAAGGGGAAAATATGGAGCCAAGAAGGCGGGGGAAACAAAGAGAATCATGCGCGTCGTACCGGTACCTGCGCGTGATAGAAGTACACCTCGTGACCCTCGTGGTCGCTGCTCCGGAAGCAGTCGTTGCACAACACGCACGTCTCGTCCGCCTGGCACTCCTTGCAGATCCAGACGATGTCGTTCTTCAGGAAGGCGTACTGGCACACCCGCCGCGGGGTGTCGGCCGGGAGCAGCTTCTGCTGGACGTCGGAGAGACTCGAGATGGAAACCAGGCTGTTACTGTGAGAAACATCACCACCACCGCCACCTTGGGTATCGTCGTGCCGTGCCCTACTCGAAGCCACCAGTGCATCCTTCGGCGTCGGAGAGGACCTCGGCTGGTGAGCGCTCTCCAGCTGCTGCAGCCTCAGCTGGTGGTGACCCGGCTGTCGCTGCTGCTGCCCCGCACCCCCCGCCGTCGCAGCCCGATCCGCCGCCCCCGCCAGCGCGGGCTGGCACACCTCGTCCGCCGCCAATAGACGGGTCAGCACGGGGAACACTCCGGGCGTTGTGTGCACCAAGCTCTGGTCCTGCTCCCCTCCTCCTTCCCCCGCCTGCTGTTGCAGCAACACCGCGCGGAGAATGCTTCCGAACAGCGGCGTCTCGCTCGGACGGCAACAGCTAGTGCTCGCAGGTTGAGGTACCGTTGTCGTTGTTGCAGAGGGACTGCTGCTGCTGCTGCTGCTGTTGCCGCCCTGCCGCGAGGCGTCTCGCAGGGCCAGGAAGGTGAGATCAACCGAGACCGACGACGCATCTCCTGGGTTTTCATCCGGTTCATCTGCAGGCATCTCCATCCCCCCCCCTCCTGTCCCTCTGTTGCTCCTTCCTCTTCTTCTTCCCCACACCCCGCGCCGCCGTGCGGGTAAACGAACAGGCAACTTGGTTGCACCTGCAGGCACGAGACCCAGGGAAATAGTTTGCTGTTGTTTTCCGCTCTGTTGTATACTGAAACCAAATAAACAAACAGATACTGCCCGAACAGCACCGGGTATGCCACCCGAACCCTGCGAAGGCTCTGTGCGCGCAGTACCGCACGCACGGGACGCCCGCTTGTCTGTGTTGTGTCTTGACACGTGATCCTGCCAGCGAGAGAGGCTCCGCAGTATCAATCCATGGATGTACAAATTATCGACGGACCCCCTCCAGTCGATGGACGGTTTGAGCACCGCACACCGCACGGCAACAAGACAACGGGCAGCAAGAGAAACAAGAGCACACAACAAGTACGACAGCAAGCCCATCTTCGAGTGCTATTGAGCACACCACATTATCCCTGTGATAAACCGATTAGGGAAAACATGCGGCGTTGCTGCGGCACGGCCGTAGCCTTTCTGTTGGCGACGTGTGTTGAACATGCGGGCGGACTGTTGTCAACACCGTCGACGGCTTCCTCCTCCGCCTTATCTAGGCACGCGTCGTTCCCCCCCCGGAGCACCTACGCCGCCAGCGGCAGGAGAAGTACCAGGAGGCGCGGGCTAGGACAAGCGGGTAGTGGAAGAGAAAGGGCTTCTTCCTCGACAGCAACAACGACGATGGGAATCGCCTACAACCCGAACGACGAGCTCAGGGCGATCGTCCAGAGGAAGCAGCACGAGACCAAGAGCCTCCTGGCTGCCCACACTGCATCGGACGACCGCTTGCAGGTGCAGTGGTTCTGAGACGGGGGGGGGGGGGGGGGGGGGTCCTTTCCCCCCCCGGGGAAAGAAAACCCCGCGGGCCAAAAATTTTCCAATCCTGGGGGAAACCCCCCCCCCCCTTGGGAAAAACCCCCCCCCCCCGGGCTGGGGGGTTTGGGACCCCTTTTTAACAATCCTTTTGGGGGAATTCCCCCCGGAACCCACAAAAAACCGGGTGGGGGTTCTAAAAAAGGGAACCTTTCCTTTTTTTAAGTAACCCAACCCCTTTTTTTTTTGTTTCCTGCCCCCGGGGGGAAATTGTGGGCCCCATTTTTCCCAAAATCCCCTTAAACGGGGGGCCCCTTTTTTTTTCCGGGGGGGGGACCCCCTCTTCCCGGGGGGGGGGGTGGAAACCCGGGTACCCCCGAAAAACCCCCGGCCCTTCCCTTCCCCAACCCCCTTTAATGGGGTTTTTTTCCCCACCCCAAAAACCGGAAAGGGTTTTTTTGGTTTTTTTTTTCCCCCCCCTTTTGGGGCCCGGGCCCCCAAAAAGTTTTTCTTTTTTGGTTTTTTTTCCCCC